TGAGTCGCAAGCGACTCGACGGCACATAACAACAACAACATCATTAATATCACATGCCAGCTAAGTACTGCTGAAAATCATCCAAAAACGACTTCCACAGTACATAGACAGGAACTGCCAGAAATTCTAAGCAGGGTTTAGAAGAGGCTGTGGTACCAGGAATATCATTGTTGATGTCAGATGGATCCTGGCTGAAAACAAAGAATACCAGAAGAATATCTGTGTTTTATTGACTATGCAAAGGCATTTGGCTGTATGGATCTTAACAAACTATGGCTGATATTGAGAGAAAATGGAAATCCTAGAACACTAACATAAACCAAGAAGCTGTTGTGCAAACAGAGCAAAGGAATGCTGCATGTTTTAAAATCAGGATGGTTGTGCATCAGGGATGTACCCTTAATACCTATTCAGTCCATATGCTGAGCAAATAATTTGTGAAGCAGGACTATGAGAAGAAGAATGTGGCATCAGTATTGGAGAAAGACTTATCAACAGCCTGCATGATGCAAATAACCTTGCTTGCTGAAAGTGAGAAAGACTTGAAATGCTTGCAGCAGAATATCAAAGACTTCAGTTGTCTCCACATCAAGAGAACAAAGGTTGTCACCACAGGGCCAATAGGCAGCATCATGATAGATAGAGGAAGGATTGAAGTTATCAATGATTTTGTCTTGTGGAGATCAACAATCAACACCCTTGGTACCAGCAGTCAGGAGATTAGAAAATATATTGCATTGGGAAAATCTGTTGTCAAGGATCTCTCCAAAATACTGAGGAGCAATAACATCAGTCTGAGGACTAAAATGCCTCTAATTCTGGCATTTCGGTGATTCTGAATCTTTCCAATCACTTGTGATGCATCTGAGAGCTGGACAGTGAATAAGGATGATAAAAAAAAAAATAAAAGAATTGATGACTTTGAAATGTGGTGTTAAAGAATAGTACTGTATATCCTGTGGACTTCCAAAAGAACAGATACATCTTAGAAAAAAAATGCAGCCGGAGTGCTCTGTGGAACCAAAGTCTCTCATACTTTGGGAATGTTGCTAGGAGAAGGCTATTCCTTAGAAAGGAACATCATGCTTGGAAAGGGAGGGGGTCATCAAAAAAGAGGAGGATCGCCAATGGATATACAGTGACTGCAGCAGCGAACTTAAGTGTGTCAGAGATAATGAGGATGGCACAGGATAGGAGAGGGTCCAGACCTGTTGTTCATAGATAGGGTCACTGTGAGTTTTACTTGGCACCTAATAACAATTGTTAGTATTGTTGCATTGGTATCTTTCTATGCCTAAGCAGTAGATCTTTGTTTATTTCTTAAAACAGCAGCACCTATGATTCTTTCTGTGGCTTCCCTTCTGAATTTACTTAAGATGCTATGACAGAAACGCTTACTCAGAAATGACACAGAGCTCAGATTGGTAGGAACTCAAGGATAATGAAGGTGATAAGGCCCTGTGACTGTGGTCATTGATATTTAGGGTCAGAACTCCCATGTCTGGAATTCTCTGGAGGAAACAGAAACAGACCTTCACACTTCTATCACCAATTCCCTTTAGCTCTACTTTTAATCCATTCCAAGCCTCCCCACTCCCCAGGATCTTAGCTCCATTCCTTTGGGCCAAGAAATGAATTAAGCTTCCTTAGAAACAGGAGAAGTGGAGTTAAGTTTTTAATATTTTCTCACCATAATATCCTTCAGGACTGTAGTACTGCATGTTGCGTTCTCAGAGATAAATGGATTTTTTAAAGTCCTTTATTTTTTCAAAAGGGACCACTTGTTTTACCTTTTTTTGTATTACAGACAGAAATTACAAACATCCTAATGTGTCATTTAGAAGCTCTGAGAGAGACAGGGAAAGGTTGAGTGTTTTCAGTTTATGGTGGTGATATGTGAGGCTGTGAAAAAGCAAGCAGTCATGAAATACATTTTTGCATAAAGCTTTGAAATTTATTAGAAAGTAAAAATAATTTGAAAAGCGAGACCTTCCTTGTTGTGCTATAATAAAAAGTTATTTATGCTCCACCATTGTGCTTGTTATTGTTTAGGAGCTTGGGTCCTCTTCAGAGGCTGTTCTCAGAGAAACACTAGGGATAGCAACATAGGCGAGGAAAGCTGACATATGTTCATAGCGATTCTGATGAGCATGGCCATATTAAAACATTGGTAATAATAGTTAAACTGCCAGAGTCTGGACTTTGTTAGTTATAGGAACTCACTTGGTGCATGCTACAGGCAGCCGCTTTCAGGATATGCACAGCACCGCATCACCCTCCGTATAACATAACAGTTGATTCGTAAAGTAATGTTCATTTGTCTGTGTTCCATTAGGACCTTCACTGTGAGATTGAAATGTTCAGCACTAATCTTAAAGTTCGCCTGACCTTGCACAAGACGGCTTGAGACATGTAGTGCTTTGTGATCTGAGCCAAAAGAACATGGCAAGTCTTCATCAACAATCTTTAGCTAAAGTGCCCTTCTACTTATCAGCAATATATGCAGGGCTTCTGATTCGTTCATTCTGGTTCCAGCCCCTGCTGAGAATTTGTTTGTCCACCCCCAATATAAGGAATCAGGATCTACTTTTCTAACAAGATTCCCATTTGAACTAGGTCACTATTTTCTTAAGAATCACATATGTATATCTATTTGTTGTTATTGTATACTGTCAAGTTGGAACTGACTCATAGCTGACCCTCTGGCAAGTTTTCAAAGGCAATTAATTGCATGGGAGGAGATTACTCATATATATGTATTTCACAGGAGTTTGTGTGTATGTGTATGTGTGTAGACACACACACATACACACACACACACACACACACACACACACACACACAAGAATCACACCATTAGAATCTACATTTTAACAAGGTCCCCATCTGATTTTGAACATAAAAATCATCTAGTTGTCTATAAAATTCATCTGGAGATCTTGTTAAACTTTAGTTGTGATTCAATATATCTGGAGTAAAATGCAAATTCTCAATACAGGATCAAACCCAAATAAAACTAGTTCAAAGCCTTTATAGATACCATACATTATCTTACTCTATCCTTTTTTCAGAAATGAGGTCTGGAACTTTTGAAATAGTACCAGGCAGGCCTCCATACAAGCCAACAGATTGTCTCACCACTAAGCAAGAAATATGGTTCTTAATGTTTAACTGACATGTTTTCCAGCTTTCTTTGTGCCCCTCTGTACTATACTGTCTTCTCTCCTATTCTGACCAGGCCAGCTGCTGGAATGCAATGAAAGCTATGGATACCTTCAAACTCTGGCCATCTTTTTGAACTTCATTGTGATTTAGTTAAAGAACAGTATGTGGTGAATGGAAGATTTGGTGACTCATTTGAGATGTTGCCTTTTCAGTTATGTGAATGCATGAAGGAGGGAATACTCTAGTGACCTAGCCCGAAGTTCACTTTTCATAGAGCATGTTTTCTTTTTGATGACAGATTGAATTTGCCTGTGTGTGTCCATCTTCTCTGTTCACCAGGAATTCCAATGCTGAAGATAGTGTTTGCAGGCCATGAGCACCTCTCTTTAATATCCGTGCCCTTGCTCATCTACCACCCGGCTCAGATCCTCCTGGGAAGTGTGCTGGTGCCAACAATCAAGTCCTGGATGGTGTCAAGGCAGAAGGTGAGACTCCCAAAAGAGCTTATTTCCATCCTAATTGGACTGAAATGCTATTCCTGAGTCTTAGATGTTCACACGCTAACACTTGGTAGCAGAGCCTCATTCTCATCTGCATATTTTCTCAGGTAAATATGGGTTTGTTGATCCATTGTCATTTGAACAGGAGAGTTGGGACTGAATAGTTGAAAGAAAAATTTCATTTATCTCCTCTTTAATGTGTCTTTATGTAGGGCATCTGCATAGATAAAGAGTCAGAAAATAAACCTAGGAACCCTCCACTCTGGTGCACCCCATCTTTTCCCCACCCCATCTGTCCTATGTGTCCTGATGTCACATGCCCATCTAAAACCAGCAAAACCTGGTTTTATCTAGAAGTGCTTTTTGTTTTCATTTCCTGAGTCACACAATCCAATCCTTGGGTTTTGGGGAGTTTTTTATTTTTGTTTTGGGTTTGTTTGGTTGATTGGTTGTGAGATTTTTGTGGTTTTTTTTCACTCTTCAAACACATTCTTTTGTATGACAAAACTATGTATTTGCTTACAATTTAAGTATCAAAGATACTCTCATTGCTATAATGTCATCACACTTTGCTCAGGCCTATTCTGCTCTTGGTAGATTGTGTTTCCTAAATTATCAACCAGCTGAAAGCTGAGTGACTCAGAAGCAGTTTTGATGAGCATATGCCCACTATAAGCACTGATGCAGGGACTTTTCAGGACATGTTTTTCTCCATCCATGAAGCACTTGTTACCCAGTGACTGCAGGGGTGGGGGGAAGACATCCAGTAACAATGTTCCTATGTCTTATTCTTAGTGTCCTGAAAACCAGACAGCACACCACTACTTACTTGTGTGCCCAGCATGTTCCATTTGTTACCTGGTTCAGAATGTGGGCACTGAGTCAGCACCACGTTCCAGCTCTGTGGTCTTGAGCACAGGCTGCTTTATTACTCTTCACTCACTTTCTGCCAACCCAAGAATAATGATACTTGCATCCAAGTTGTAGAGGACTGTCTGACAGAGATTTCATAAAAGCCTGTTAAGATCATTATTGTCTCATTGTTTGATTTGTTTATATCCTTGTTAATAGTAGACATTGCTATCCCCATTAGACAGCTCAGGAAATAGGTTCAGAGAGTTGATCAATACATAAAAGGTAATGTGGGTAGGTCAGTCACTGGTAGAACTAGGATGAACAAAATCAGTCCTGGACAGAGTATAGCCAGAATGATCCATAAAGGAAAAGATGGCAAAATTTCATTTGTTACTTTGGAAATGTCATCAGGAAAGATCAACTTAATAGACTATCACGTTTATTAAAACAGTAAGTGAATATGAGGGAAATTCTCAGTGGAGAGATGCATCGACCAAGTTGCTACAACAAAAGGCTCAGTGTACAAATCTTCATAAGAATAATACAGGACCTGGCAATGCTTTGTTCTCCTATGAGATCACTGTGTATCAGTGGCAGCCATCAACAACAGCTTCAACTTGGCCCTGGCCATTGGCCTCCCCAAATCTTTACCCTGTGCTATGATGATACGTCAGTCCAAACCACATGACACTTTTAGAATAAGTAATCTAGACCTCCAGGAGCCGACCTGAGAAATGAGCCCAACCATTCCCTTCACTCAGTTGATTCCCAAACAAAATATTAGTGCTCACTGTTCCCTACTAAGTCCCACTACACGTGCTGGTCTTGCTATTAACAGCTGGTAAAGAAGCAAGTGTTTATTACCCTTTTTCATTCTTTTACCACTTATCTCTTTTGGAAACAAGAAATAGTGCTTCTATATATTTATGCATCTGTTTACAAACATATAGGTCAGAATTCATGTATGCATATTTTGGACAAGAATGAAGACAATCATTTGAAAATCCTGAAACTCAGTAATGTGTAGTTATGGTAAACAGCAGTTAATCAGAGTGACTCTTTCTTTAAAATGTTTTTATAACTTTGATATTTAGTCTATAAATTAAGAGGAATATTTCCAAAGTTGGAAAATTCCTTTTCCCTTTGTACAAAACTCACTCCCAACTAGGCTGCCACTGGCTAAATTAGAATAAACCAGAAGGCTTAGCATGTTTGTCTGTCCATTTTGACCCTCTGAAAGAAATGCAAAGAGTCATCCTGCAAGGTCTCTCTGAGCATCTCCTCTACATTGCAGGCAGTCCTGAGGCTGAGGCCACTATCTGTACTGCCAATGGGCAAGATAGCAAAGTCCAGCGAGAGTGGTGACATGGATGGGAGGTTAATCTGCTTGCCTCCAGAAGTCTGGATTACCAGTTATGAAATGTGATGTGGGCTGCTTCTCCCATCTTGTAGCATAAATTGCCTGACATTAATAGATGTTCTCAATTTGCTCATAAATATGGTCCAACTCTAATACTTTGTTTTCCTTTCTTACAGGGAGTGAAATTGACAAGGCCAACAGTATAACAGTGATTTTTGTGCTGCGATGCCTATATGTGCAGACGTGTACATACAGGCAATCCTGAAGATTTGTACTTGTAAATGTTTCTTTGATGCATATTTTATTTTTTTACACGAAAATATGATATACCTGTTTAAGTGCCTTAAAATGTATTTGATAAATGTTATTTCCAAAACCTACTTCAGGTTACTGCCAGGGGTACCACAATCTTTTGGAGTTGTTGAGTTTTTTTACCCTAATGCCATGAACAGTCAGTCATAGGAAGTGATAAAAACAGCTAACATTCTTTATCTGCACCACCTTCTGTGCAATACAACTCTTACCGTACTGCTTGAATGAGGTCACACACACCATCAGGAAAATACCCTTCTGGTGACCATGAAAATTTCCAAAGTCTTACTCATGTATTCCTTGATTTACAGTGTGACAATTATTCCCTTCCTCCCCCTCCCCTACAGCTGTGGCAACTCAGCAGGGGTCAGACATCAACTAGATGCTGAAAAGCACAAGTAATCTGCATTTCTTGACATCATTTTTTAGACATTCCTTCAAATAATTTCCACATGGAAATTCCTCAGCTCCATTATCAGTGACTGTAGTTATATGTCTTAAATTTATTATAAGCTGCTTCAAAGAAAGGATCTGACATTTGAGTTGTAAGTAAAGTCAGTGAAGTTTTGAGATTAACTACAGAATTAGACTTTTGAGGATTTTTAAAATTTTATTTCTACTTTTTTTTACTGTCTTTTGTATTTTTTTTTCTTTCCTGGTTTCCAACACATGGCTTACAAAGTCTTAACAGTAAAATGCAAGACAAAGAAATGTTACAATCAGTTTGAGAGCAGCAACAATTAAAGTTCTATTTTATTCAGATTTACAACTGGGACCAATATTTTTTTTCTGTTACAAGGGTATGCTGAACACGTTCCAAATTGCCTCTTTTAGATAAATGCAGCCTGTTACATCCTTGAGTTAAGCATACACATAAAGCATTCAAGACAAAAATGTACGGACAATATCCTTGATAGACCTGATAATTTTGCATCATTTTAAAATAAATTGTATTGCTTTGGGGAATAAATGAAAGCATAGAGGTCATAGATGCAAACAAATGTTATGTATACACATTCTAGTTAGCTAGATGGAAAGAAAAAATGAACTCAGAAAATGCAAAACCAAAACCAAATTATTACGTAAAATTAACTCCCAAATGGTCATCAACCTTCAAAAGAGTATCCACTATTTGCTTCTGATATATGGCCAAGAGAAGTTTATTTGGACCCAAAAACAGAACAGAACACAAATGTATCAATTTTAGAGAATGCTTTCTCTCTTTCCAGCACAACATCTGTCATGTCTTGTCTACCTGCCCTTTCTTGGTTCAGCAGAGGACATAGCATCTTGGGTCTTAGTATTGCGGCTGTATTATGTCCTCAGCAGCTGGTTGTTACTACTGTTGTTGCAGGCTCAACAACAAAAAGAAAACAATTCCTTAGCAATGATAATGTGAACTTAGATTGTTGTTACTACCGAGTCTCATTTTCGTTTCTTCTGATTCATTTAAGTATCACTGAATCTCACAAATTTCACATGTGCTATGCTCAGTGTAAATTTGTTATGCTCACTGTAAATTTTAAGGCTTGTAACAAATCCTGCAAAAGAAATCTGTGCTGAACAGGCTATGGACACAGAGTTGTCAAGAATTTCACTTGTGTCCAAACAGTAATTTTGCTTGATACTTTGACGCATAGGTAAAGCACCTAGAAAGCTTTTCAGATTTTGTTCATACCAACTTTTCTTTAAATTTAAGAGTGGAAATGTCTACCTATATGTCTCTCTGTCTATTTAGTCTATCATAAAAAAATTTTGCTAGCATTGGAACACTGATTTTTCTTTTTCCCCAACTGATCTACCTCTAATGTCCAATACCTGTAGTAGGTACAATTATGGGATAAATTAAACAGAAAAAGCTATGATAAGTTTTATCCTTTGTCTAAAAAAATGTTTTGTTTTCAAATTATCTTATTTACCTTGTGAAGTTTGGTGGCTTCAGTGATATGTTAATGTTTAATTTTTTTTAATGCAAATGTCGTGGCATAGTTTTCCGTAAAAAGCAAAGATAAATGTAAATTTATTTTTCATTCATGCTTATTGGGACTTAATTATTCATGTCAAAATATTTTTTATTGCAGTTATGCACTGGTAACCTCTCTGTTTTATGCATTCGTCTAAATGTATTTATGAAAGAAATACATTAGGATACATTATGTTTACTGGTTTTCACCTGAATTTTTTTAAAAAAATATGCTTGTTATGAAATTTAATTTTTTTTTAAATATGGGTAATGTGGATCTCTTTAAGTGTTTTTTTTCCTAAGTTTTAACATTTTGCAGATTTTTTTATTTTTCTTCTTTATACTGTTTAAAACTAATACACCTCTGGGCAATGTTCAGTGTTTGTGCTAAATACCAAATTTTTTCAAAAGAATTGTTGAAGTAATGAAGCTGATTATTTATGATGAATATTATGGAAATAATTCTATTAAACAAAGATGTTTAAGTAATCTTAAGAAAAACTGTGCCTTATTTTTAACCTGATTTAATATGCACCCAAAACACCTTCCATGTATCTCTTAGTTTCTTGTCTAAGGAGGAGGTGCAATGCAGAGATTGGCCAACTCTGACCTTTGCCTGCTTCATAAAGAGAAACTTTCTCCCTCAGTAATATCCATAGCAGCAAACAGATAGGTTAGACATGCCACCCCTTATCTTCCTGCACCTATTTGCACCAATCACTGGATTATTCTTTGTTGACTTGCCGACTTTACTCACAGTTGTGGTAGCAAAAATAGATTTTATTAGGGAAGTAAGTTGAAGGAAGAGTGTGGAAGACAAAGATATCACCCAATGCAAGTCCAAGTTTTAGCCAACAGTCCCAAAGTACAATACCCTAATTAGTCCAGGCTCCAGTTTCAGTTCAGAAGTCAGTTTTTTCTTCCATCATCTGGCAAGAACAATAAAACCTTTAGCTGTAGCCCTTCTCTCAGGGCTCCTCTAGTTACACATTGCCTCAATCTCTCCACAGCAATGCCACTGCCTTTTTACCATTATCACCATCTTGATCCAGTCTCCCTCGAGTCTTACTGCTCAGTGTGGGAAGCATTCTCTTATTCTAGACCCACAGTTGTTGATTGTTTTGCAAGACCATGTGTCTATAGTTAAGGTTGCTGGACACCAGAGGGGGCTAATTTAGTGGATAGAAAAGCCAACTTTTAAATTGACACTCCATTTCTCCAAATTCTTTCTTGTGCATTTTATCACTGATGATTAAATAGACATAAAGGGAATGGTCTCCCCAGATTTCCATACCATTTCTTCCACCAAACTCTAATGTTATAATCCAGAGGTGCTTGGTATGAGATGCCATCAAGTTTACCCAATTCATAGCAATCCAGAGATTGTTGTTGTTGTTGTCAGGTGCCATTGAGTTGAATACAACTCATAGCGACCCTATGAACAGCAGATATGAACCCTGTCCTATTCTGTGCCATCTTCACAATCTCTGACACACTTGAGCCCCTTTCTTCATCACTGTGTCCATCTGCATGGTTGAGGTTGAGGATCTTCCTCTCCTTCTCTATCCCTACACCTTTCCAAGCATGATGCCCTTCTCTAAGGAGTATCTCTCCCAAAAATCTGCACAAAGTATGTGAGACAAAGTTTCATCATCCTTGTGTCAAAGAAGCACTGTGGCTTCTCTTCTCCAAGACGTAACTGACCTTCTATGTCGTACTCCTCTCAAATACCACAGCTCAAAGGCACCATTTCTTCTCTTGTCATCCTTATTCATTGACCAGCTCTCAGTAGCATAGCAAGTGATTAAAAAGATCATGGCCTGATTCAGGAGCACCTTAGTCCTCAAACAAACATCAGCGCTCCTCAATTATTTGGAGAAGTCACTAACTAGAGATTTTCCCAGTGCAATATGTCTCCTGATCTCCTTGTTGCTGGTACCATGTGTATTAATTATGGATCTGATTAAGATGAAATCATTGACTGTTTAAATCTTTTTCCATCTATCATGATGTTGCCTATAGGTCCAGTGGTGAGGATTTTCCTTTTTTTGATGTTAGGTGAAATCCATATTGAAAGATGCATTGTTTGATCTTCTGTAGCAAATGCTTCATGTCCTCTTCACTTTCAGCAAGCAAGTAGTGTCATCTGCATACTGATGCTTGTTGATGAGTCTTCCTCCAATCCTGATCCCACATTCTTCTTGATCAAGTTCAGCATCTCAACTATTTGCTCAGCATACAGATTGGCTAGGTATGGAGAAAGGATAAAACTCTGATACAAATTATGTGAGACTTTTTAGTCTCCAATTCTAGGTCTCTGCATATTCCTTTATAAGAGTATATTTTGTCTTCTCAAGCTGTCCTTTGAAATCTGTTGTTCAGATTTTTCACTTGAGTATCTCTTCCCTTTGTTTTGGCTTCTAAATATTCTAGTGCAATTTTCAGTCTCTTCTGACATCCATTTTAGATTTTTCTTCCTCTGTCTTTGTTTATCTTCCCATTACTCATCTGGTCTTTGTTCATTGGTGTTCAATACTTCAAATCTATTCTTATGATGATTTTTTAATTCAGGAGGTATAAACTTAATATCATATTTTTGTTCTCATGGCCCTGTTTTAATTTTCTTCAGCCTCAATTGGAATGTACACTTGAGTAATTGATGGTCTGTCCCACCATCATCAGTACCTGGCCTTGTTTTGACTGCAGATATTGAGATTCTCCAAGTTTTCCTTCTACAGCTGTTGTCAGTCTGATTCCTATTCAGCACATCTAGTGATGTCCATGTATTAAGTTTTCATTTCTACTTGAAGTGAATAAATCATTGAATGTACACAATTTGATCTATTTCTGGCCTCTTTTCTGTCACCAAGTCCGTACTTTCCAACTACTCTTCTTTCTTCATTGTTTCCAACTTTTTCATCCCAGTCACTAATTATCATTAATACATCCAGTTTAGGACTGGAAAATTTGACAATAATTGTCAATTTCATCCTCTTAGCAGATCTTCTATGTATGTGTATGGATAATATCCTATCACTCAAACATTGTACACTTCAGAATAGAACTTGAAATTGTCTTTTTAACTACGAATACAGCATGTCTTCCTCTATTTTTTATTCCCAGCATATTATACCATGTGATTGTGTGATTCAAGGTAGCCAAAGCCCATCCATCTCATCTCACTAATGCCTAGAATTTTGGCATTTGTGCGTTCCACTTCATTTTTCACGACTTTTGTGTTCCAACATTTATACTTCGTACATTTCATGTTCCAAATTTCAAAGAATGTTTGCAGCTATTTCTCCTCAATTTGATTGACTTCCAATCCAAGAGCTACATCTAACAATATTAAC